GAAACATCTCACAAAACGACAGCCAGGCTGGGTCAGTGTACTCGCCTAGTACATCCGAAAGAGCTTCTCCAAAAACAGGTACGTTGCGATGTTTTACTAATGTTTTTTTTTTTTCTTTTAGATAAATATATTTTGAACGTTCTAGGTTCTCCAAAACCAGCTTTGACACGTAAATCGCAACTGATACGAGTTGTTACAGTTGAGGTAGTCGCTGCATTGGACCGCTGTAAAGTGAGTGATCGAAATGCTGTGTTTCTAATATCATCGATCGCTAAAGCTTTAGGGCACGATGTTTCATCATTATTGTTGAACAAGGAATCTGTCAGAATCGCCTGAGCAGGAATTCGATTACAAATGCAACATGATTTAAAAGCGTTGTTTAAGCCAGATATAAATTTAACAGTACATTGGGATTCTAAGTTGCTACCTAACATATTACCATCCACCCATCGAAAACTCTACGGGGGCACAACAAGCAGAAGCGGTGTACAATGCAGTCGTCGAATGGGGGCTTGCGGACAGGTATGATCTTAAATCTTGTATGTTCACCTCAGAATTCTGACTATTTTATCGTTTGTTTTTAGAATTATGTTTACATCTTTTGATACTACTGCATCAAACACCGGTAGAAGAAAAGGTGCGTGTCAGTACCTGGACAAATTGTTCAAGAGGCAGCTTATAGGCCTCCCTTGTAGACACCACATACATAAATTGCTACTTGGCAAAGCTTTTAAAATTCTGAAATTTGAAACGTCAAAGTCTCCAAATGTTGAGATTTTTAAGGAATTCCAATCAAAATGGCACATTTTGGAAAAGACTTCATACCACTCAGATATGGATGATGATTTTTTTTAAATAGCTCTCTCGGAAATAGAAAGATTGGCGTTATTGGAGTTTCATGAAAAACAAATTAGAGAGCAACACCACCGTGGTGATTACCGAGAGGTTCTACAACTTGCCATTTTATATTTGGGTGGAAAAATCGATGAAAAATTACAAATAAAAGCTCCTGGTGCGTTCCACAATGCAAGGTGGATGGCCAAAATAAATGATGAAAATGTTTATTCTTCGGCATGAATTTGCTTTATCAGATAAAACTAAAAATCAACTAGCTAGATTTTGTGTGTTCATTGTAAAAATTTATTTGAAAAGTTGGTTTCTTTCTCCGTGTGCTGCGATGGCACCCAACAACGTTCTGAACCTGTTAAAAATATTGAAGGAATATGAAACTGTTGATGAAGACGTTGCGAAAGCAGTACATAAAGGAATTTTAACTCACTTGCAATATTTGGACAACAGCCTTATCGGACTATGTCTGTTCGACGAAAATGTAGACCTCCCTATGGGAGAGGTAGCTCATCGATTCTTCCGGTTCGCCTCCTAGCATCGTGCTATAAGGTACCAGGCGATAACCAGGGTAGTTGATCGATAGCTTGATGACGTCATTTCGTTGGCGTCTGCAATGGGAAATTCTCATAGCAGGCGTTGACGATGGGACGTTGTCGAGTTGTTGAATAGCAACTATCGTGGTAACTCACCGATTACCTGTCGATCTGCCAAATTTGGAAAGACTTCTGCATTGAATTGTCTCATATAATAATATTCCGTCCACTATATCACACGAAATTGCGAGTAGTTGAGTGGAATGGAGATAAGTTAAGCATTGGGTACAGGACCAAGTCTCCCCTGGGTGGTGCCAGAAGATGAGCGCAATAGAATCATCAAGTTGCCATAAGGCACGGAACGAGACTATTGCATGGCTGGGTAGTCAAAGTCTTCCATTCGTTAGTCATTTCAGGTGGATTAGAACAGGTTTAGGTTTAGGGTGGGCGTTGGCCAGATTTGTTTTCCTAAATAGGACCTAGATTATTTAATACACTAGTAACCTCAACTTCTGTCACAATGTTTCATTGTGACTAATCAACACTCAATGGGTAAAATATCAAATTTGCGGTAAATTTGAAAAAAAGGGAACTTGGAGTGTAGAGTGCACTGTCCACTGGACGATTCTGAAGCCTGACCAAGTGAGTGGGTTACGGGTTTATTTGATTGTACGTCATTTCCAAGTTATATATAGATACATTCATACCATTGGCATTTTGTATTTGAGATAAGACAGAGACAGGATGCGGAGGGCCCGCTTAGGGGGAGCGTAACCCATGTTATGGCTTCCATTTATTAAATAGTTCAGATAGGCTGGAAATGATAGGTTCATGGTGAGAAAATGTACCATATGGTGCCCGTTCACTGATCAAAATTAGATTCAAATCGTCAGGCCCTGCCCTGGAATAAGGGAATTGACGATGATTTGTCAAGTTTCATTTTGCATTTGCATATAATTGTAAGTTTAGGTTTGCTTTTGTAATTGTAAGATAGATAGTTTGCCTCAATTGAAACATTGAGTTAAACATACCTCTAAAATAGTAGTAGTTACAGTGCCGCATTATCTAACTTTTGTTTTGTTTGTTTACATATAACTAATACTAATACCTCCTTGTTTTCTCTCTAATTTGTCTACTATGTCCCACCATCACGATGAGAGATGAGCTACCGTACATGGTACACGCTCATATACACTCCCAAAATAGTATGCCGCAAGTAAGTATATCACAGAGAAGATCCAGAAACAAAAACCGAAAACGCTGAACGGCAGATTGGTTTACAGTGGTCGACCAGGGTGTGTGCTGATAAATTACAAAATTACAATTACATCATTATTCCATACATCAGCTTGAATTACGTTGATCGATATTATATTTTTTTGCTGTGCACTACACCACCGGAGCCAGCAAAGTTCAACAATCCATCGTTGCTTATGCCTTTGTTGTCGTTTGGAACCAGTTTTGCGAGGTAGGTGACGATTGTGCGTATTTCTCGCGTAAATTTTGAAAAGGGCCTAGCCTGAACAATACGTAAAGAGCAAATTGAAACATTGTACGTCGCGTGAAAGTGGAACTTAATGAAGGCCTAAGTACTTTTTCGTAGTTTTTAGTTTTCGGATTTGAAAGATCGTCGGTTACAGTGGCCTGCTTACTGAGCAGAAAAACGCGGTCCCAGGTCCTTACATATCAAAGAGATTTATAGTAAAATCGCTTGTGTATCGTGTATTTTGCGAAACTCGTTGTTGTCGTTGGTTCCGGGTTTGAATGGATACAAAAATTAGAGCAACGGTATTATGTGATATGAGGGGCTCGGTGGCCTTAGAGCAACCGTTTTTGCTTACTGAGCAGAACATCATGAGTCTAATCTCAGGCCCATCCACAATCAAGATTCGTCAATCGTTTTATTTGTTAATATGACTACATGGTAATAACAGCAACTCGGTGATTAAAAAGGTGCTCGTGGCAAACGTTTTTGCTTACTGAGCAGAAGACCGTGGGTTTAGTCCCAAGCTCCTTCGCGTTATATGATCGTTAGGACATTAATTCAGCTTATCGTTTACCAAAACGAACCCTTCTGCAAACCCAACCCTCTTATCCAACATCCCAGTGATTCCTCGTGGAAGTGCAGAGGTGTTCTCGGCTTCCATCAAAGCGAGTGTCATGTCAACACAATCCTTCCCATTCCTTTCTTGACCTGTGTTCGGACGCGGCCAGCGCTGGTATTGCCTAATTTAAGATCACCAGTTTTTACACATTGAGGATGATTGCTAGTCCCAAGCATCGTCTATTGGTTCTCTGTGTAATTACAGCTGATCTGGCAATAACAGAGTAGCAACCGTGGGCGGTCAATCAAGCTCAAGCTCAAGCTCGACGAAAATGTAGACCTCCCGGTTAAGAAAAAGGTCATCGAAGCCTTACATCTATCAGGTAAATGCTTTAATTGATACATTTGCATTTAATTTTCTAATGATCTTTTTTTACAGATACTCATAAAAACATTACAGCCAGATCCATTGTTGAATCCAACGATATTTCAACGATTGAACTACACTCGTTTGTACAAGGCAGCAGTGGTATTGAAAACTTATTCAAAGCTTTCCAAATTCCGAAGTCGTTGCTGAATGTCGATATGGAGCAGTGGAGTAGTTCCATCGAGTTTAGAAATGCCAAAAGACGGGTTCAATGTTTGGAAGTAGTTAATGATAATGCAGAGCGTGGTATAGCATTGATTAAAACATACAATTCAAAACTATCAACGGATGAAGATCAAAAGCAGTGCATTTTACAATTAGTTGAAGATCATCGAAAAAATTATAAGAGTTCCAGGAAATCTGATTTGCTGTAGCTAATAAGGAAACCTATGGCAAAGTATAAAACAAGTATTTTTTCATCTTTTCAGGCAAATGTTCCTCTTGTGTAAAACTCATGATTCCCAAAAAAAAAAACAGATTAGCGCAATTCAAGATATTTTTACAATTGATTTTAGGAATTTCTGATGAAAAGTTGTGGTTTTTCACATATTTTTGAATTTTTGGACCACCCTAATGAAGAATAATTGGACCACCCTAGTGAATTATTTCGTATTAGATCCTAAATGGTGGTTTAATTCGATATATAAGCAGGTTGGAGACAATTGTGAACTGTTTTAGAAGTCGACTCATCAATCTTCTATACATATTCCATATAGAACTCATAAAAAAAAAGTCCCAGAAAGTCGATTTTTGAAAAAAAAAAAAAAATTTTCGAGATAACACCAAATCTCAACGTTTCATGCATTTTTAAGACATTTGGCATCAAAAATTTTATTTTGATTTCCGAAATTTCATGTCGGGGGGGGGGGGGGGGCTTGGGAGATTTTCGAGAGTGAAAAAAGTCAAACTTTGACGCGTTTCCGCCACCCTTAAATCATGTCCGATTGAGCTCAAATTTAGCATAGGGTCATTTTTCGAGGCAATAAACATTTTGTATATGGTTTGTTAGCGAAATTAAAAATTACCATTTTCGCTAGCAGTCTAATATATATTAAAAATAATAGGTAAATACAAACTTAAATTTCAAAAAATTAATTAACCGATTGAAAACAGTTATCCCCGAAACCCATCTCCGCAATCAACTCACCTTAATGTCCCGGGGCTGGCGCATCTCCTGCCGCCGCGGGGACACTCCGGGCTGATCGGAGTAGACGAGATTGCGCACCGAGCCGCGGAACCGCGGCTCGAAAATGACGCTCGGCAGTGCCAGCAGGGCCAGCTTGGAGTTGTACCTGTGGAAGGGGAAGAACAGAGAGAAAACAAAAAAAAAATTCAATCGTTATAAAGAGAATTTATAATGGCCGGCACGCAGGTGTTTTTTGATAAATGGCTGTCGAACTTGAGCAAGAGGCAAACAAAAAAAGAACAGTTCCATAACGGTGCAGGAATTAATTTTTCATGGCACTTTCTTGCGAATCGGGGAAAAGCCTACTGAGCAGTCTCCGGCTTCTTCGCCGTGGTCGTGGAGAACAGACGGAAGCTGGGTTCTGTGCGGTGAGGATTTACTTTATGGTGATAAGATCAGAGAATTTCGCTTTTTTTTTCGTCTGACGTCACCTGAATTGAAAGCAGGAATTCGGCAGTTTATGTGCGACAAGTGCGCGATGGTTGGCCCGATGATGCCGTAAAGCATTTGTCAGGGGATTCTGGCAAAAGAATTTGTTTTTCTGTTTTGCCGAAAATTTGGTGTGTGGGAGGAACATGGAATGGGAAATGGAATCCTCTTGCGCAACCGTCACTTCAATCTAAATTTACTCGTTTCATTTTTTGCGTGGGGATTTCGTGATGGCACGAGGTGTCATATTTGATTACGGCTGAAACTGTCGGGCGTGTAACGAGGTTCGAAAAAAAAAGTGACGTCGATGTTCACTTCATTTGGACCGTTTTTTTTTCAGCATTTGACATTTGAATGTCTGCTATTACATAGAAATTGGTCATGGGAAAAAAAAGTCATCAATGCAACTGCTGTACGGTTCTTGCTAACTCATTTATAAATTCAGTTCACGATGGAAATCTTGGTCGAGATTTTGAATATGCGGTCGACCTTCACGTTTAAGTGGAATTCTGCCACGACACCGAAAAAAAATGGCATCGAAAGCACGGTCCAATTTCCCTCCCAAGGAATCGCTAATTAGTCATGCAGCAAGAGCAAACACACTTCATTATTTAAGGGTTTTTCGGTTGTTCTTTCCTTTCTCTGCAGGAAGCCAATAATCCGGCTAATGATTTCATTCCGAATTTCGAAGCTATTTGACCTTTCGAGGGCGAACCTTATCGAACCGTGGCATCAGCGATTGCTCTTCGCTTCCACAATTCCACTTATTTGAAAGCAGCGGTTCTCAAACTACCGTTTATTACGACCCACTATGAGGCATTCCATATAGTTGGCACTGAATTGTTCTGTGGGACCATTATACCTGTCCATTTGGCGGCTGTTCCGTCCAATTAAGTTTAGTGGTTGCCGAGAAGCATGTCTTAATAAATGTTTCGTGACACACACATACACGGATACCTAGACATTTTCCGATGTCGGCAAACTGAGTAGATTGGTTTCAAAGTGTTTTTGTTACTTTTTATTCGTGAAGTTTACGATTTTAAGAATTGGTTGGAAATGCTATTTAAGGTCTGTATCCACAATAAGGAATGGTCCATTGATTATGTCACGCAAATTTGGCCCAATTCTGTCTGAAAATTCAATGCATTATAGCAGTCAAAACACCGAAATACAAATGTTAATACCTTAATACTTCCGGCGTCATCGCAGCCCACTACTACCTGGAGCTATTCCTAAAAAGCTCCTATATCTTGTCTCTACTGCTGCCGCTGGCTGGTAGGCAGTGAATTTAGAAGAACTAAAATGCCAGAAATGAAACGAGTGACACTGACTACATTTAACCCTTCGTTACTCGCGCTGTTGTACTTTGTACAACACACATGAGTTTTCCATTGCCATTTTGTTGCTGAGTTACCAATCGATCTGAAACCAACGAGTATTCCTCAAGAAATTTGTTTTGATCTAAACAAGCTAAACTTTGATTACAGTGAACACATAAAAATGCGGATTATAGAGAAAATGTAAATGGCAACCGCGTAAACTGTGACCATACTATTGACTTAATTGATTACAACATGGCATACATCGAGATCCTGACCAAATAGAAAGTTACTGTTTCCGACAAAGTTGTTCAGGAGATCATAGCCTTGTCGCTGGCGGACAGTAGTTCCGAATTTTCTCACTACGTAGCGCTAGTATACATGTGAAATTCTCACATGTAATATATCTCGAGATCCTGACAAGATAGAAAGTTACTGTCTGCGGCAAAGTTGTTCAAAAGGTCAAGGTCTTTTCCTTGGTGGCAAGTAGTTCAGAGTTTTCTCAGTTCACGGCGCTAGCATACATGTAAAATTCTCGCATATATAAAATATCTCTAGATACTTACCATATAAACCATATATGATAAAAGTTTAGCTTGTTTAGTTAAAAACAAGTTTTTTAAGGAATACCCGTTGGTTTCATATCGATTGGTAGTTCGGCTGCAAAATGGTAATGGAAAACTCACACTGTTGTACAAAGTACAACGCACGAGTACTCGTGTTACAAAAGTTGGCGCGAGTAACGGAGGGTTAACAAATCAGGCTATCACAATATTTGTAGTGCATTGATAATTTGTGGAGTAGTGTTAAGCTAAAATAAGGCTTGTTAAATCTTTAGATCAGTTAACTTACATACATACATTTATTTGTACAACATCACATTTAAAATAAGACATAATCAACAATAGTACGCCACAATACTCGGTTTGCGGCTGCCGCTCTCCATCCTCGGTCATGCCCAATGCTCGCTAGATCACGCTCTACCTGGTCCACCCATCGTGCTCTCTGCGCTCCACGCCTTCTTGTGCCAACCGGATCAGTAGCGAACACCAACTTTGCAGGGTTGTTGTCCGGCATTCTTGCAACATGTCCTGCCCACCGCATCCTTCCGGCTTTGGCCAGCTTCTGGATGCTGGGTTCGCCGTAGAGTGCAGCGAGCTCGTGGTTCATTCTTCGTCGCCACTCACCGTTCTCCTGCACACCGCCGAAGATCGTCCTTAGCACACGTCGCTCGAAAACTCCGAGTGCTCCTCCTCGAGCATAGTCCATGTCTCGTGTCCATAGAGGACCACCGGTCTTATTAGCGTTTTGTACATGGTACATTTGGTGCGGGGGTGAATCTTTTTTGACTTCCACTGATGATGCGCCTTCGTATTTCATGACTCACATTGTTGTCAGCCGTCATTAAGGATCCAAGGTAAACGAATTCCTCCACTACCTCGACAGTATCCCCGTCTATCGTGACATTACTTCCTAGACGAATGCTGTCATGTTCGGTTCCGCCTACTAGCATGTACTTTGTTTTTGACGCACTCACCACCAGTCCGACCTTTGCTGCTTCGTATTTGAGGCGGGTGTATAGTTCTACCACCGTTCCAAATGTTCTTGCGATAATGACCGGATTTCGTGAAAATCGTACCCCGGCTGTTGAGCCCGGCTCGTCGCATTACACCTTCTAGAGCAATGTTGAAGAGTAGACATAAAAGTCCGTCACCTTGTCGAAGTCCCCGGCGAGATTCGAATGAACTGGATAGTTCACCCGAAACCCTTACGCAGTTTTGCACACCGTCCATCGTTGCTTTGACCAGTCTGATCAGCTTTCTAGGAAAGCCGTTCTCGTCCATGACTTTCCATAGCTCTGTGCGGTCGATACTGTCGTATGCCGCCTTAAAGTCGATGAACAAATGATGCGTTGGGACCTGGTATTCACGGCATTTCTGGAGGATTTGCCGTACGGTGAAGATCTGGTCCGTTGTCGATCGGCCGTTAATGAAGCCGGCTTGATAACTTCCAACGAACTCGGTCATTTTAGGTGATAGACGACGGAAGATGATCTGGGATAGCACTTTGTAGGCGGCATTCAAAATGGTGATCACTCTGAAGTTCTCACATTCCAAATGGTCGCCTTTCTTGTGAATGGGGCAGATTACTCCCTCCTTCTACTCCTCCGGTAGCTGTTCTGTTTCCCAGATCCTGACTATCATCCGGTGCAGGCAGGTGGCCAACTTTTCTGGGCCCATCTTGATGAGTTCGGTTGCGATACCATCCTTACCAGCTGCTTTGTTGTTTTTGAGCTGCTGAATGGAGTCCTTAACTTCCCTCAGCGTGGGAGTTGGGTCAGTTCTGTCCTCTGCTGCACTGACATAGTCGTTTCCTCCATTGCGCTGGTCTCCCGTGCCTACGTTCTCCTCGCCATTCAGGTGCGCATCGAAGTGCTACTTCCACCTTTCAATCACCTCACGTCCGTCCGTCAAGAGGCTCCCGTCCTTATCCTTGCACATTTCGGCTCGCGGCACGAAGCCGTTGCGGGATGCGTTGAGCTTCTTGTAGAACTTCCGTGTTTCTTGGGAATGGCACAGCAGTTCCATTTCCTCGCACTCCGCTTCTTCCAGGCGGCGTTTTTTCTCCCGAAAGATGCGGGTCTGCTGTTTCCGCTTCTGTTTATACCGTTCCACGTTCTGTCGGGTTCCATGCTGCAGCATTACCGCCCGCGCTGCGTTCTTCACCTCCAAAATCGCTCTGCACTCCTCGTCGAACCATTCATTCCGTCGACTTCTTTCCACGTACCAGATGGTGCTCTCGGCTGCGTCGGTGATGGCTGCTTTTACTGTACTCCAGCAGTCCTCTAGAGGGGGCACATCGAGCTCGCCCTCCTCTGGCAACGCTGCCTCGAGATTCTGCGGGTATGCTAAGGCGACATCCGGTTGCTCTAGGTTGTACCGTGGCGGGCGTCGGTACCGTACATTGTTGATGACGGAAAGTTTTGGGCGCAGTTTGACCATCACCAGGTGGAGGGCAGAGTCGATGTTAGCACCACGATAGGTCCTGACGTCGATAATGTCGGAGAAGTGCCGTCCATTAATCAGAACGTGGTCGATTTGCGATTCCGTCTGCTGTGGTGAACTCCAGGTGTAACGATAGGGGAGGTGGTGTTGGAAGAAGGTGCTACGTATGGCCATGTTCTTGGAAGCGGCGAAATCGATGAGTCGTAGGCCGTTCCCGTTCGTCAGCTGGTGGGCGATGAACTTTCCAATCGTCGGTCTGAATTCCTCCTCCTGGCCTACCTGAGCGTTTAGGTCTCCTATGATGATCTTGACGTCGTGGATTGGGCAGCGATCGTACTCGCGGTCGAGCTGCG